AGGGCAAGAGTAGGATAAGAGTAGTGTGGGGAGCAATAGTAGTAGTGAAAGGGACTTGGTGGAGTCGAGGCAATTCTCAAGGAAATTACGGATAGATATGAAAGGTAGTATAGGCCCGTACTACTGAAAGCAAAGGATCCATACTCGATTCAAGAAGGGCTAAGATAAAACCAGGGAACTTGTAGTGATTGTGTGATCCCTCAGTAGTGATGAGTATTTTGATGATAGTTATGTGATAACTCATGCAGTATGGTGACGCTACATGGTAGGCCAGTGGGCAGTTCAGGTGCCAGTGAGGAGTCAGGCTCGGGTTCAGGAGCGGAGCAGCTCGGGGAGCAGATGAGAAAGTTAGTATCAGAAGAGATTACACGCAGTATCCTAGACCAGACTCTTGTGATCATTGGTACGGTCAAGGAGGGTATATTGGAGATTTTGGATGAGAGGCTAGGAGCCTTTCTTGCTGAGGTGGTGGCCATGTTAGGGGTTCCTCTAGGGCCCAATGTTTACGGATCTCTGGGATCCCTTGGAAGGGATGGTCCTGTAATTAGCTCTTGTCATCAGGGATCGGAGGTGGGTTACACACCTTATCTCCAAGAAAGTTCACTTCAAGATTGGATTGCTGTGGAGGTTTCGCGGGCCGTACGTAAGGAGTTACCCGAAATTATTAATCGTGTTACTGGCAGGGTAACCGCTAGGTTTCAGGGTCAGATAGTGACTATTCAGGCGGTTGATGGGGTAGCCGAGGCAACTCCGGAGCAAGAGTTTGGTTTGGATGTGCAGTTAGGGAAAAGGAAGCGGATGCCAACATCAGGACGATTGAAGGAAGGTGGAGGTTCTAACTCGGTTGACTTGAGTGTGGGAAGACATGGAGATATTGAGGTTTCTGGAAAGTATGGGGAACCCATGGGTTTGCTTGTCACAATTTTAGGTGTTTCAAATGTGGAGAAAGAAGGCATGTACATCGGGATTGCAAGAAGGATCAGATATGTTTTCATTGTCATCAGCCAGGTCATTTCAAGTCCCGTTGTCCTATTTTCGAGGTGGAGAAAGTTCAAGTTCCAACGCCCATGGTTCCATAGGAAGCCAAGATCGAGCTGCCATAGATCGATGGTATGTATTTCAATTTAGCTTCTGTTTATGATTTTGTTGTTATGGTACTGCATCGATGTTAGTAAGTGTATTTATGAATATTATGTTTCCTGCTTATGATTAAGTTATATTCCATCTACATACCTTGGATGTTAGAGTAGTAGTTCAAAGATGTTTCCCTTTTGAGTAGGTTCTCAGGATGCAGTCGTTGTAGCAAGTGTGAGAGGGACTCGGGAGGTATTCTGTTAGTCTTTTAGAGTGGTTCAGATTTGGTATTGGTTAGTTTTAGAGCACTAGCAATAGTAAGTATTGGTTGTCACCAGATCGACCGTTAGATGGAGAAAAGGATTGAGAATCCTTTTCAAGTTGTAAGATGTAAGGAGCTAGTGGAATCAAAGTAGGGGAGAACCACACGAGTGGTCAGAAGCAGAAGTAAGTGCGAGACTGGATTGGGTTTACATCGTTGTTGAGGAGGAAAGCAGTCCAATTGGCTATTTGGAAGGAAAATCACGTGAGCGAGGAGTTAAGGAAACTTCCCGAAGTTGAGTTCGTGTTTGCTCGATTAGCTAATGACTGATTGGGAAACCAATCTAGAAATTTTTCCATCAGAACGGGAGACGGTCGAGTGGTCGTCTTAATTGAGGATTGGATGAGTTGGGAGTTCAGAAAATGATTCCAACAATTGGTTTACGCTTTTCTTTGACTTTGGGAAGCAGGTTTCAGGAACCAGGTTAGAGCCCCAGTTAAGACTCAAGCGCAGTTGAGTGTTAGGTCGAGTGTGTGTTCGACACAGTATTAGTGTTTTGTAATTATGCAAGTGTAGCCGTAGCATTCACTAGCAACCATATAATGTTAGAGTGTTGTAAGTTTGCGGGTGTAGTCGTAGCATTCACTAGTAGCCAGATAGTGTTAGAATGTTGTAAGTCTGCGGGTGTAGCCATAGCATTCACTAGCAGCCAAATAACATCCCAGGTGTTGGCATTAGTCAAAGCAGTAAACTCTTATTGCATAACATCTTCCCAAGCTGGAATGCCTTTGGCTTCATTATAAAATGTGGGTTCGTGTTGTATAGGTTAGAGTATGAAAAATGAATTCAACGATAGGAATGGGAGAATGAGATAAAGAATCAGTGGTACAAAGGTTTGTAACAGTATGATGACATGTAAAAGGTTCTTATTCTAAAATCACATTGTTAAAATCGTAATCATGTAATCGAGAAGGAGGTTGACGAACATAAGAAGTTTGGCATAAGGGAATGTTATTTGATGAAATTAAAGGTAATGTAGAGGGTGTGGAAGATACAAGTATCAAATGGAATAGAGGATGAAACATGTACTTGATCATAAAACTCAATGGACACATTTAAAATAAAAGAAGGCATGGATGAAGACTATTTGCATCTGAAGTGAATGCAATGGGAAGAGTTTTTCAAAAAATTTAACATCTCGAGAGATAAATATGTCCTTGGTCGCCAAATTCAAGAGCTTGTAAGCCTTTTACTTGAATGGATATCCAATAAAAATGCACGGATGAGCTCGAGGCATGAACTTATGTTTCTTGGTGATTGTTAAAGATACATAACATAAGCAACCAAATGCTCTCAACTAATGTAATGGTGGTTTTTCATGATAAAGAACATCAAAAAGAAAACGTTGATTTAAAATTGATGTATGCATAAGATTGATGAGATGAACAGATGTTTTGACATATTCACTCCAATAAGATGCACCAATACCAGATACCAGAGTAGACTGAAAGTATAAAGCTCAAGCTATTTCAAGGCTGTGCTTATGTTTGTGCTCCACTATGTCATTCTGTTGGGGGGGGGGGGGGGTAATAAGCTATGGAACGTTGATGTATGATTCATTGAGATGTGAAGAAATTAATGCCTTCATTGCTTGAGACGAGCTCTAAGGTATTGTCAGTCTGAATAGATTTAATAGTAACACCAAATTGAGTCTATATTAGTGAAATAAAAGCTTTTATTAAGGAAAAAGCATAGCTTGTGTGGCTGATTAAATGAACCCATGTATGTCTGCTATGATCGTCTATGATGATGATAAAATATTTGAAGTCATCATGTGTTGCATGTTTGTACGGTCCACAAATATCAATTAGAATTAGGTCAAATAGAACTTTAGAATAAGATTCACTGTGAGGAAAAGGTATACATTTATGCTTTGCTTTAGAACAAACAATACATGAATTTAGAGAAAGAAAGAGAGAGATTTAAACTTTTCATTCTCACAAACTGATTACTCAACCATTTGAATATAATTGCTTAACAAGAAAGCTAACTTAACAAAACTGTAACTAACTCTAATCGATTTGTAAGTTAAATTACATAAAAGCCCTTTTGATAGAAAAGACGATAATGCCACTTTGATTCATTCAAGCTAAACACTTTATAACAATAGTTTGTTTTTATCAATAAAAAATTAATGAAAATGTGATATAAAAGTATATTTTTTTTTCGAAAGTTAACCATTAGATAAGACCGAGTAACACTAAATAAATAACATAATCCAATTTTCAAGATAATAGGATAAAATAGATAACACTAAGGTGTTGTTTGTTTTTCTATAAAAACCTCTTCAAACCACTTATTGTTGCGTGGCGCAGCACACGCGTAACACTTTCCCTCTCGTAGCAGTTTGTTTTTTGGAAGACTTCAGACTACAAAACCTATGCGCGTGTGTTGCGTGGCGCAGCACTTGACTTGCCTCTTCTAACCTCTTCAGCTTTTATTTTTTCTAAGTGTTTTTTAAGAATTTTTGTATAACTTTTTTTTTAATTTTTTTTTTTTAAAACTTTGATTTTCTTAAATTTTTATTTACGGATGTGATACAATTTATTTTTATAATTTCCACGATTTTTTTAATTTGTTTTTTTTAATTTTTTTTACCGTTTTATTAATAATATTTTCAATTTCAGTTACATTTTTTTTAACGTGTGTAATTTTTTACGAACTTTGTAGACAACGTTTGCAATACTTTCTTAATTTTTTTTATTATTTTCTTTTTTTAATGTTTTTTTAAATTAGTTTTTTCTAGAATAAAACTATTAGCTTCTTTTATGTTTTTTTATGTTTTTTTTTTAAAAAAAGGTTTATATTTTTGTTTTTTACATGTTCTTGTTATTATTATTTCAATGTTTTAAGACTACAATTATTAAATTTTAATGTTGAGAATTATTTTCAGTTTATAAAATTAGTTTATTTAAATTTTAGTTTACTGTAGCAGTCTGCAGATGTTAAAAAACAAACATGCTTCTTATTATAGGCTGCGGCCATTTGTTCCACCTCTTCTGCTACATAAGATTGCAGAGATGGTCTGCAGACTTCATGAATTTTCGCTTCAAAAAAACAAACAGCACCTAAATCATCTCGATAATTATATTTAATTTTATTAATTCGCAAGATACATATAGAAGACATAACATTAGATAATGTTATTGTAATAAATGTTTTTTTATATTGTTCAAAAATAATTGTAATTTTGTTATAATTATTGTTTCATATATATATATATATATATATATATATATATATATATATATATATATATATATATATATATATATATATATATATATATATATATATATATATATATATATCACATGAAGAAGAAATTAGGTAATATTATTGAAGTACATATTCTTCAAAATAGTTGCAATTTTATATACCAACTTAATGTTTTAATTATTATTTCATAATAAATTTCAATGATATATTTATTTTCAAGAGCATATATATTTAATAAAATTTGAACTTCATGACTTTAAGTACTATTTCAATGATATACTTATTTTCAACAACATATATACTTATCAAAATTTGAACTCCATGACTTTAACTTGCCCTGCGAGCAGACATTAACCAAGCAAAACCATATAACGAATCACTTCACCAAGATGATAAGATTGTTTATGAAAAAAAATTCGGAAATTGAAATCTCATGAAACAATGATATACAATAAATGAAAAATAAAATTTGGTACTTGGTGTGTCAATGATATACTTTATAGGAATACAAATAAATAAATAAATAAGGAAAATATAATAGAAAATTTCTTCAAAAAAAAAGATACAAAACGCCACCATACATGAACTCTATCTATCAACTATAATTTACTATGCATTTCTCTCCCTTTATCTGAAAAAAAAAAAAAAAAAACATTCTAAGAAAGAAGAACATTTAATAATACTCGGTTGCAAAAAAACAATGAATACCTCGAATTAGAAGGATTAGCAAAAGCAGAAACCAAAATAATACACTTCACACTCCACCATCCTTCTACATTCACTCCTCTTATCTACAATAAAACACAAAATAAATCGTTTAAATCATGCCTACAATATAAAACATAACATAACAGGTTGTACTGCATTTGAAACTGACTTTGAAACTAGACAAACTTTTTAGGGCTATTTTCATCAGATAAGAGCAGTAATCAAGTCTTTTACAATTTTTGTCTCATTATCATCAGTCTCAGTCTCAGTACAATTAGATTTAGTACAACCACTGACATCAGTCTCAGTCCCAGGTGAAGCAATCTATGAATGTTTTACCTAGTGCTAGGGTTACCAAGGGTGAGCTCAAGATCATCGGAAACACATTCTTCATGAATCCTCTCGCCTTCCCACGGTTTCACTAAACCTTTCATATTACTCCCAAAAGCAAACTCAGCCGAAATCACATCCGACATAGGAACATCCGCATTTTGGTCAAACCCTGCAGTGACAGCTGGCGAGCACGTACCGCTTTGCCCAGGGGTCCACATCCGGGACCCGGTACCCGAAACCAACCCAAACGGGTTCGATGCCACAAGACTAAAAGTGGGTGAGGATGGCCCGTCTTGCGGGGTGTGGACCCCCGAGAGCCACCCTGACCCGGTCGGTGTTTGCCGCCCGGGGCTTTGAGGGGTGGAAGAAGGTAGAAAAGGGTAATGCTGCCCGGCCTGCCCGGGGATGTCGGTCATTCTAGGTGTCCGGCAAGTTGGTGAGCTTAATGGAGGTGTGACCGGAGCACTTATGGAACCGGAGCCACCAGGGAAGTAGAGATTGTGGGGGAAATTTGATGAAGGTGAAGAACCTGATGAGAGATTTTTTAGCCATGGGATAAGAGAATTAGGGTCGGGATTACTGTTTGTATACAGGGATGAGATTGAGCTAGGAAAAGAAGATGAATTAGGGTTTAAATTGTAGGAAGGATTTGGGCTTGGACTTGGTTGATATGATGATGAACATGGACTGGCGGATGTTGATCCTGATCCACCGTTAGCCTCCACTCTCGCCGCCGGTTTACAACCCTACATAAATACACAGATTAGTAAGATCAACATGAACAAGAAGAAGAAGAAGAAGATGAAACAATGGCTATGATAATATGATTGGGACTTGGGAGAAATGTAAGAGTTACTTTTTCAGGGGAGAAAAAAAAAATATAGAAAGAATCTTTCGTGTTGCGTGAAAGTAAGCTATCGTACGCTTGGGGAGAACACGATTGATTATTTTACGAGAAAAAAAGTAAGTTAGCCTCCATGGTTGACGATGTTAGAGAGAGAAAACACACTGAAAGAGATGTAAGAACAGGTCAGCTGAGACTGAGTGGTACTCCATCGTGATAGCATGCGCCATATGCACGGGAAGCACGTTACCTTGTCTCCGATAACGACAAACGTCCAGATCCATAAACGAACTTGTGACCTAAAACTAGTCAAATTTCATTATCACTGTTGCTTTTAATAACGGATAGCTGCACGATGGAGCTTGATTGAGTAATTGATTCCGAATTTGGACACAATTCAATAACAGTATTATAAATCGTAATTCGAATTTCACGTTTAGCATTAGATCGATAATCGGATTGACTAAAAAGCTAAAAATCATCAACCAAAACAATTAGATCTAAAAACCACCGGCACATCCTAAATCAAGGGGTTTACAGAGTTTACAAGATGCAGATTCCGTAAATCGATCACAAACGCTATAATTCCATGGAAACGAAGAATGATTGCTATCACAAAACAGATTGGAAATTATTATGAGGTGGATTTGATTTGAGATTACCTTACGATAAGTGGTGCCATCTTCTTCGACAATCCAACCAGCTTCATTACAAAGGGCTTTCAAAACCTCGTTGTTGTCACAGTGCTTAGGCAGCTTGTAGTTTCCATAGACTCTGAGTCCGGCGAATATTTTAGCAGCGATGGCACGCCGCCGTCTTTCTCTACGCTTGTTGTTCTCTCTCTCCTTCCAAGTCGGCAACCTTGTTCCCGACGTCATATATCTTATATAACAAACAATAATCCTTCTCCGGCTAACAGAAGATCGCAGATTTAGTAGGATGACCGGAAAAAGAGAAGTCGCCGGCAGCCGGCGATAGGAAAGTGGTGGTGTAAGTGTTGTTGTGTTGGGTTGTGAGTGGGGGAGAGAAAAGCGGAGACTTTAAAATGGATTTTCTGATGAAAATGTTGAATAGATTACGGGAAAGACAGTGGTGGGATTAAATAGGAATTCCTAAACATGCGGGTGGCGCACGTGTTTAGTCTTTTTAAAGCGAGGGGTGGATGCGTGTGAAGGAGTTGTGCAACATTAATTATGGTTAATTACACATTTTTTGTTACCAATCCTTTTATGTTACAACTTGATCCTTGAGAATGATTTTTGTTACATACAGATATAAAAGATTTTTGTACACTTTCATATATTTTTATTATATTTATATATTTATCTCTATATTATTTTCTAGTCTCACCCGGATACACTAAAATTTCATTAGTTATGAAAACCATTGCTCCTATTTATAGAGGCGGAACACAAACATAACTATTAAAGGGTCCAACATAATTATTCACACATACAATAAATATTAATTCTGTTTTGGACATTTTGCATACAAGGCTTTTATTTGTGTACAATACTTGTAAATCATACTATATATAAGAAACTAATCAAATTAATGAAACGATTATATCATGAAAAGTTAGTAAGGAAAAAAAAAAAGTAAATACAAATCGCAATATATTCATAAAATATATAAACAAAAACTTTTTATGTTTTGTCATATTTATATTGTTTTATTAAGCTGAAATGAGTGGTAGCATATGTTGTCATATAGGTAACAAAAAAATACAGAGTAGTAGCACCTAATTTTGTGTTATTTATATTTTGAAAAAAAAAAACCAAAAAAATAAATAAATAACCAATAAGGGCCTTTATCTCCCAATCTTTTTATCTTTTCTCACGCTGACGATTTTGTTTTGGCTAGGACTTTGATACATTTGTAGGGAGTGAATTTGACACTATTAGCCAAGTGGAGGCGAGCATGGCTAGTGAGTTACTCCCTCCAGCTTTAGATCATCGGATTATTCGTATTAATTCAATATCATTATCGGATTATTCATATTAATTCAATATCATTAGTCTTTCAAAGTAATTTCTTAAAATAAAACCTTAATATTCTTTAAAAAAAACCTTTTCACATCATATTTTAATTATTATGTTTTTTCTTTTATTTTTCTATATTTAATATATTTTAAAAATATATATATTTATAGTTATTATCTCTTTTATTTTTATTAAATTAATTTTTTAGATTATTTATATTTAAATATATCTTATTATTAAAAAAATATTACTTCGAATATTTTGACGTTAAAGCAGTTAATTTTTTTAATCTTTTCTTTTTTATTTAATTTTTTAAGATCTTTACAAATAATTGTATGGTTGTATTTATTTTTTATTTCCAATTTAAAATCAACTAATTTTTCAAGTAAATCATTTATATTTTAAATGTTTTTCTGCTTATTTTTTTAAAGATATTTCCATTTATTTGATTGGAATCCGATAGCCTAAAATTGATATCAATCAATAACTTTTTTAAATTTTGTTTGTTTATATGAAACCGGTTCATGTGCATCTGTAACTTTGTTTTACAACTTACAATATTTTTATATAGTATTTTTACATGTAAATATTTTAACTATTTGTGTAACATCCGGTTCCCGGTACGTATTTTAAATATGAATTTTTGTATTTTTATACTGAGACTCGACGAGTTGGAGCCCCAAACTCGTCGAGTATGGGCAAATCTTGGACGCGAGTGGAAGAGTCCACTCGACGAGTTGGAAGCCCCGACTCGACGAGTAAAGCTTTTTGAATGAAACCCTAAATTTTAGGGTTTGCACCCTATTTAAACACCTTATATGGCCTCCATTCCAGGCTCCATCACCTTCAGACCTTATTCACGAAACCCTAATCAGCTTGTGAGTGTTCTTCAGCTATTTTGTGCCATTTTAGTGATTTGAAACATGGAAAAGGAAGGAGAAGCCTGGAGATTCAAGAGGAGGGCAGTAGATCCAGAGCTTGGGTTTGCATTTCCAACTTGTTTGAGGTATAAAGCTTATAACTTGGCTTTCCATCACTTAGATCTTCTTTAGGGCTTTCATATTGTCATTTTTTTGGCAATTTCTAAGTCATCTTCGGGATTTGAATGCATATTAGAGAAATGACTTCCGATCTGGGATTATTTGAGCTCAGGATGCTTAAAGTTGCTAACTTTACTGAGCTATGGCCCCATCCCATGCATTAGAACTCCTTTATAGCTTAGTTTTGGTGTTCTAGCCTCATAACACCCATGCATACACGTAAAGTTTGTAACTTTACGTGTCATATCGACCCTAGGAGGTCAGATTTGTGCTTTGGATGCAATGAGCCCGACTAAAATCGACCAGATGGACTTGGACTTTGGGGGGACTCGACGAGTCATTCATAGGACTCGGCGAGTCGGGTCATGGTTCCCTAACCTTTTCTGTTTCTGAGCAATATGGTTAAGTCTAGAAGAGGACTCAGCAAGATGGATGTAATTATGGACTCGAAGATCAAAGAACTCGACAAGTTCAAAGATGAACTCGGCGAGTTAAAGGCAAATGTCCCGACTGATATGAAGAAGAACTCGACGCGTTAAAGGAAGAACTCGACGAGTCAAGGTCTAAATGTCTCGACTGACATGAAGCAAGACTCGGCGAGTCATGAGCAAAAGGTCCCGATTTTATATGAAGGAGAACTCGACGAGTTCTTGAAAGACTCAACGAGTAGGATCGAAGTTCCAGTATTTTGTGGATTATGGAACTCGACGAGTTGGTGGACCAACTCAACAAGTTGAGTCGACCAGATGTCGACTTTAACCAAAAGTTGACTTTGACCAGGGTGTTGACCTTGACTTTGACTTTAACCGAGTTGACCCTTGAAATGGATTAGGAGTATGAAAAGGTGATTAAGGAAGATTGTTATGTATATGAGTTTGAGAGGAGTTGAGCCCATCATCCAGGACAACTCAGACACTACACGATATTGAGGTGAGTTACCTTCTGGTGAAATAGGTTGAAGGCACCAATGCCAGCCCACTAGTAGTTGATTATAGTTAAGATAATTGTTTGTGTGATAATTTTCTGGTATGTCACTATCTGTTATGACTTATGTGTTAGTATGTTATGCTATGATATGATGTGATAGTGGTAGGAGGGGTGTATAGACCCCAATATCGGTTGTAGGGACCGACAGGGTAGGTCGGGCACCTAGATATGTCTAGCAGTATATTATGCTATGCTATTATGTGATAGTGATAGGAAGGGTGGATAGACCCTAATATCGGTTGTAAGGACCACCAGGGCAGGTTGGGAACCGTATATATGCTTGACAATATGTTTGCTATGTTATTATATGGTAGTAGTAGGGGTGAAATAGTCCTTGTAGCTGGTTGAGATAAACCGGAAGGTAGGTCGGGCACCCCAGAATTGCCAGATAGGGTAGGTCGGGTAGACGGGCACCTCAGAATTGCCAGGCATGATAGGTCGGACACCCTAGAAATGCCATACAAGGTAGGTCGAGCACCCCCAGAATTGCCCAATAGTATGTTGGTTATGTGTTATGTGGTATGATGGGGGAACTCACTAAGCTTTGTGCTTACAGTTTTCAATTTTGTTTTCAGGTACCTCTTCATCGAAGGGGAAGGATCTGGCACAGTAGCAGCGCATCACACACACACACATGATTTTTGCATTATGAGATTCGTGGGATTGTACTCTGATATTATTATTATCTTATGACATGGTGGAGACACGTGATCTATGGTTTTATGAAATGAAATAACTTGGTGATGTTTTTCTATAAATTGTGTTATAAATTGATATATCAAAAATGAAATTTTTGGTCTTGAAAATTAGGATGTTACAAGTTGGTATCAGAGTCTTGGTTTGAAGGATTCTGTAACGTCCGTAGATTCAGACAAGTCAATTTAGAGATAATAGAGATCAAAAATGACTTTTTGTCAAAAGATTATTTAGAATAAATAATCTTAACCAAGTTGTAAAATACATCTCGAGGGTTCCGTACATATAAATAACACCGAAATCCGAGTTATAACGAAGAAGTTATGGCCTGTCGAACTTTTACGGCAAAACCGGCACGACACTGGGAGATGTAAATAGTGAATTTACGATAGAGGTCTTTTTAGCCTTAGTAATCTAAAAAAAGGTCCTAGAATATGTTAAATTGAGAGCGTCCATAAAAAGAACGCCCAAATCTGACTTCATATGAGGAAGTTATGAATTTTCTAACATTTGGCATAGCAATACACGACCCGAAACTCGAATTTTAGTTCGAGTGGATTTTGGCCTACGCGACCTAAATGAGAGTTGAAGATCTCAAAGGAACTCAACGGTAAAAAGACAAACGAAAACGGAGTCCGTATATAGAAATTATGAATTTTACGCGGACATTTAACAGTATAATCTCCTCCTACTGTTAAATTTAAGATCGGTCGAGAATTAGCCGACGGAGTCTAAATGAAAGTTTTAGATCTTGTTTTTACCTACACGTGGATATAAATACTGTCGAGAGTAGATCTCATATGTTAAAGATATGGACGAAACTTGGTCCCTACTATTCGAGCGCGATAAATTCGATACGGTTTTGTAAATCTGAGATATAATGAGAATTAGTTGTCGGCGTCTAAATGAAAGTTGTAGTACTCGTAAATACCAACACGTGGATATAAAGAACGTCAAAAATGGAGTTCGTATGAACGAGTTACAAATTATAATAACATATTTATGTATTAAAATAAAGTATAAATCATATATACGTACACACATACACACACACACACACACACACACACACACACACACACACATATATATATATATATATATATATATATATATATATATATTATATATATATATATATATACAAATGTATATATCATTAGAAAGGTATCGACGATGCGGTTGTTATAAGACTAGTGTTGAGTACTTTCGACATTAGTTTAGTATAAATATCGTTAAATCTATTTAAAATAATATTATGAATGGGTGTTTAGTCGTTTATATAACTATAATGTCATTAAGTAATTATGGAGGGTAGTTTTTGTAAAGT